TACATATTTGCATTGAAAGTAAATGTGTGTATACATACATATATATATATATATATATTCCACTTTTGAGATACCCAAAAAAAATATAAAAGTTAAATTAAAATGACGATATTGTAATTGTACCTGTCACCCTTCCTAGTGATTCTCCAGCAAACCCATACCATGTTGTCAATCTATTGGACCGCCTCCACATTCAACATATCCAATCAAATCTCCCTCCCCATACCCCCCCCTCCTTACTTTTTTTTTATTATAAAAAAAAAAGGAAAAATAATAAAATATATATCAGTCAAAAAATTTTTCTTTTAACATTTTTATTCACAATTATTTTTTTATCCCTTTTTCTTTTAATTAAATCCATTTAATCTAGCTCCAGATTTCTTTTAATTATCCTAAAATATTTTTAAAAATTAAAAGTTTTTTCTTGCACGCTATTCCTAAGAAAAATATAGATTAGTATTTTTCTATACATATATATATATATGTATATATGGTACTCTAGAAATTGAATTAAAGCAAGGAGTTCTGTTTCATTAGCCCATCTTCTAAGCTAATTTTATCTCTAATTAATTAAATTAATTTACACGGATTAGGAAAAAAAGAAAAATAACAACTTAACAGAGTACAAAACGATTAGAACGTCGGCAAAAAAGACAAGCGGTTGTTGAGTGATAACCCATCAGATTCAGACTCCGATTGGCTGTGGAGGGTGAGATTGTTGAGGCGGTGCCGGCGGAGTATCTGCCGCCGCACCCCCCGACATGGGAGACTGAAGCGATAGTTCTCTACGGCGATGTGCATTCTTGTTATTATGCATCCACACCTTGAGCACATTTCGCTTCACGCCAACCTCGTTGCAGAACTGATTCAGTACGCCGTCGTCATTCCTCTGGATTCTCCACCCAATCCTCTCCGCGAACTCCAGCATCCTGTCTTTCTGCTCTTGCGTGAACTTCGTCCTGAACCGTTTGCTCCTCATCATCATCGCCGCCGTCCTGCCCGTCCCGCCTCCGGGAGTCACGTTTCCGTCTCCTCTCTCCGGCGTCTCCGAGCGTCGATCGTAAGCCTCGGCATTGTCTTCGTGATCCTGATCTTGATGGTCTCCCTCATCAACGGCTCCCATCAAATGATGATGATGGTGGTGGTGGTGATCGCCGTTATTTCTGTTATACTGATAACGGCGCGTGGACATATTACGCGGTTGAAACAACGGCAATGTGGTGGTGCTATTATTATTCATAACGTTCTTGTCCCATCTAGGAGTGGTGGGCCCCGCGTTGTACACCACCATCTGTGAAGGCGGTGGCGGATGGTGATGTACGAAATGAGCGCCGGGGATCTCCCGGCGATGGAAGTTACGGTGACATCCGCATGCGGCGCAGGTTAGGGATTCCCGAGTGCCGTCGAGTCCGCGAGGCATGAACTCGCCGCATCCGTCGTTGGCGTGTCCGCCGATTGAGGCAGCGTGATTCCTCATGCATTCTTTGAACTTAACAGGCGGCGGCGACTTCTTAAAGTCAGTGGACCTGGAATCAGCGGCGGAAGGTTTGTGTTCGACTTCAATGGCGTCGCCGGGACTGTCGTGGTCTGTGTCAGAGCTGGTGTGTTGAGTATATGGGACAACACTGAGGTCCATGGAGAGAGAAAGAGAAAGAGAAAGAGAGGTAAATGAGCGATGGTTAGGGTTAAGAGTTAGATTGGGGAAGATGTGTAGTGCAGATGGACGTGTTGATATTTGTTGCTAACTGTCATATCAC